GTAGGTGACCCTCGTGCTATTAATAGAAGAAACCAGACTAGTAGTGGATAGGTCCTCATTTTGATCTTCGCGCAGTCACAGTGGAGCGTTGGATTATCTGTCCAGACAAACAAAGCCTCTCAACATTCAATATAAGAAAATAGGAAATATAACACCTATACAAAATAAGGAAGTGAATGAATACTTGTACTCTACTGTTTTGACATATACTTAGTTGTTTGGGGTCAACTCTTAACCAATCAACCTAAGCTGTTACAAAGTCATGCAAGGATAATACATGTTGAAACATATAACTGAGTGCAAAGTCAAGGTATTCTTAAAATCTTAAAACCGTCTTCAGTGGTCAATGAGAGAAGCCATCCCTAAAGCATTCATGGATTTTCTAGACCAAGGATAGGTGGTCCACAATAAGTTATGAGTAATCCACAAGTTAGGATTGAAAATTCATCGTCTCTAATTCATAAATCACAACACCCAAAAATAAGTTTTTGACCAGTAATACTCGGAATAGAAAGGGTTCAACAAAAGTTAACCAAAATTGAAATTGATTTTAGGAAACTTGCTATAACAGGGTGCTCCGGAAAGAGTTAAACAGGTAGCTCAAACTTCTCAAAGTAGAACTTCTGAAGGTAACTCGCCTAATCCGGGGGGGGGCTTCAAACACTGAAATCACCTAATACTCCTTATGACGTTCGCTGACACTGCCGGTGTAGAGGACGTTCTAATGGATAGTCATTTACTGAGATCAGATGGAGATGCAAGAATACTGCTTAATATGCCATATTCTGAACACAGTCTCATCAGAAACATTCCTGATAAGTCTCGAGGGACATTCCTCTGTAGAAGAAATATCATTGTGCAAAGTGTGCCAGAAAACACGGACGCCGACTGCTTACACTTTGATATTCGAGAGTGGAAATTCATCAAGTAGTCTTTGAAGCTCAAAAATATATTGATTGAACAAGTGGTGAGACTAGTCAAGAAGGACGTGGATCCTGGACCCTAGCTGATAAAGATTGCCTTCTCATCCTCCCATATGGCGGCTACCACTCATGAAGCATTTTGTGACGACAGACGCTGGATGCCAACTGAAATCCACATGCATCCGGATAGACTACATGATGCCAGCATCAAGCTCGGAAGTAAGTTGGGGCTTAGTATTCCACTTGTGAACTGCCAAGACTATGAAGAAACCGCAGAAAGAGCATGAGCTGCCAAATCGGAAAATTCTTTGTAGGTAGGTTACCTGTTCACTTACGTAAGGCTCATACAGATAAACAGAGCTGGAAAGCTCACGTGTTTCAAATAAAGGGCAGGAACTGCTAACACATGAACGCCGCGAGTTTACCGAACAAAATGGATGAGTTGCGTGAACTCAGTAACACTGATAATGCTCATCTGATAGGAATATTTGAAACATAGATACCTTCTCAAATTGCGGACATGGAGATGGCAATACCCGGGATATCTTTGTTTCGCAGCGGCGGAAAAGCAGGAACGGGGACGGAATATCCCTGTACCTGCGATCTCACTCAGAAGTACATCACGTTCACAACCAAGAGTTCTTCAATCTTGATTAATCTGTATGGCCCTCAGTAAGATTATATAATACTTCAGCGTGTCTAGTTAGAGTCATCTACTGGAAGTCCAGTGCTGACACGCAATTTGACAATCGCATGCCGAAAGGATTGCCCTGCCCTTCTCATCTCGAATACGCTCATATCCTGATTCTGGTAGACGTCAATCTCCCCAAAGTCTACTCCTCTGAATATACATACATTGGATGTAACAATCCTACTGAAGCCCAGTTCTTCAACTTCACTGAAGATCTGGGATTATTCGGAAATGTCAAGTCAGAAACTCACTGGAGAATTAGTGAGACGCTCCCAAACTTAGACTGCATATTTGCAAATGAGGAATTTCGGATCGACAACCTTTCAACGACGGATCCCCTGGGGAAGGGCGATCACCTCGTCATACCTTTCAGTTTTATCATCAAAACTGAGGTAAAACATCTTACTAACGATAGGCGCTGGAACTTCAGACGGTTAGGTTTGTCATCTTTACAGAGCAACATACAACGGATGGACTGGAAAGCTCACCCTCAACTTGATGAGTATGCTCGTTGGAATTTCTTAATGCACACGAACTCATGTGCTACAAAGCATTCTGTTCCGCTAATGGTCCCTAAAATCTACAAGCAACATACTATCATTAAAAATCTAACTGTTCGACTGCCAAGCCGCAAAAAGCAAAACTGGGCGGAGTACAATCAAACTAGCGACAACAGCGCATACATGCAATTCAAACAAGCAAGAAACCGATGCACAGAGACAATTAGTGAAGACAGACGTCAGTACCAGATAAAACTTATCGACAAATTCTTTTCTAAACCGAAAAGCTTATTCCGCGTCTTGTTCTGCGGTCTTTTATCGGCAAGCTGAGATCTGAGTTTCCCAACTGTCAGGCCCTAACAGCCCAACCAACAAAGATAGTGACGCCGACGACCTTCTGGCAAAACAGTGTTTTTGGACATTTTAACTGACACATACTAACTATATTGATGAGAGCTTCATCATTTACTCAGCAGGACTCTCAGAAGTGTGTTGACTTGGTGTACCATAAACTGCAGCACCCAAAAAAGACTCTTCCCCAGGCTTGGATATGGTTCATTCTGCTATACTGAGGGAAGCAGCCTCAATCTTAGTAACACCTCTGAGCGTGATGTCCTCATACTCGGTAAGCCGAAGCACATTATCAGTAGATTGGAATCTGGCCCACATCACACCAATTTTCAAAGGAGATCGACGCAACGAACCTTCAAACTGCTGGCCGGCAGCACTTCCTTCAATACCCTTGAAGATTATGGGGTCCCTGACGTGTGACGGTCTGCACGACTACTTATCTATAAACGTCTTTTCATCCCAACAACGCGGTTTCAGAAAAGGTCACTATTGTATGACCAACCCGCTGACCTCGATGGAGAGATGGACCACGATCCTTGGTCGTAAGGGGAAGGTCGATGTCATATATCTTAACTTCTCGAAAGCTTTTGCCAAGGTCAACCATATATGTCATATCGATAAGGTCAAACGATCGGGTATCAAGTACCTCTAATTGGTTGACTCACTTAATATCTAAAAGATCGACATTTTAATGTCAAAGTTAACTTCACTTTCTCTCAAGCTATAGAATGTCTTAGTCGGTTCCCTCAGGGTTCAGTACTAGGATTTATTACTTTTTGGTTCATATAAACGATCTTCTCCACCAGGCATCGTCAGACTTGTTACCTTTCGCTGATCATGTGGGACACTGGAGAGATGTATGCAGCCAAGAGGATAAATTGGCGCTTCAGAAGAAACCAACTTAACTTCAAAGCTGAGCAGATAACAACGGACTTACCTTTAACACTTAAAAGTGTAAAGTAGTCCATTTGAGACACGTTGCAGACTATGCATAAAACTTTGCTGATTTATTGTTGGAGGTATCTCAATTTGAAAAAGATCTAGAATTCTCGGCACTCTGTGATCTAATTTCTAACGCTAACTGAGACCAAAATGTTTGTCCAACAAACGTTGCAGTGGTAATATCGAAGCGCGTTTATGGCCGGATCGAGAGTAGAACTTTCTACTTGATATTTAAGTTTTATTCGTCCCCATTTAGAGTACGAAAACACAGTACTTCCTTCCTTACTCCAATAAGATAAGCGCGCTGAACTTATCCAACGGCGAACCACGAAATCAGATTATGGACACAAATTCAAGCCTTATGAAGTGTGCCTCAAATCAATGAACCTTTGCCCATTAGAGTGAAGGGATTATAGAGGTGACCTGGGCAACACCTGCCCAAGCCAATTCCCAACGCAAGCTTTGGGGATAGAGCCCAAAATTAGAGATATGTTGTAGCAGAACGGACTTGAGACATGTATTCTACTTTCTATGGGTAGTCAAGTGTTAGAAATCACTGCCAACTTAGGTGATCCAAGTGACTTCTCAGGAGTCCTTTAAGAGAAAATTTGACATATTATTGAGAACAATGAACGACTTCATCATGTTTTGTTAATACTTTTTTCCTCTTTCATAGTGTAATACCTAGGTCCTTGCCTGGAAGCATCGGTGATTCAACTCTACCAGATACGGAAGCCCATTAAGCAAAAGGTTTTTTTATTCGTCCGAAACCAATTGAACTTTTTGAATCAATACAGGGATTGTGGAGATCATTAAGTTTTTGACTGAGATTGTAGCGGGCTGCAATTAAACGCAACTCAATTTCGTAAATGTGCCCTTCAGCTTAGCAACCAATCAGATCACCCATTGTAGCGTTGTGTCGAGTCGCAGTTGACTATGCTCACCACCACTAGAAGTTTACGTACCAGATGTCAGAAGGCAATTGGAGGTGGTAGCGAAGTGTATTTGTTGATGACCTCGTGGTATCGGAAGAATACCGAGATCGTGCCACAGGAGTACAAGCGGATTCACCGAGCGAATGTAAGTTCGTGCAAAGTCACAACAAACGGAAGGACGAATGGAAGAATAATGGATGTCTTTAGTACAGTTAAACAAGCAAGTACAGTAAAACAATCACTGGTACAGTTGGTTATAATAATAATTGTTTCGATTAAACCAATAGCGTTCTCTTGATAAAAGTAGGTCACTACAAGATCATGAACCGTTTGATATCAGACCACCGTTGCAAACCTGAAAGCACTAAATGGCCGTTTCGTCCTATTGTGAGACTCCTTCAGTCTTGAGGGCGAACGCTTAAACTACTGGTGTTGGTGTCCAACATCAACCAATCCATGAATTTTCGCGGCCCCTAGGCGGCCCTGGGTTTCAATCCCGTGAGCGGGATCGTGGATGGGCACTGCTGAGGCGTCTCACAATAGAACGAAACGGCCATCTAGTGCCTCCAGGTTTCTAACGGTGGTCTAACATCAATCGGTTCATGATCTCAATCAAAAACTATTTGAATCACTTTATATGGACAAAACGACCTTGACCAATGTTTTACTTTCTCAGTCATAAGCGGTTGTCCAATCAGGCTCTCATTCTTGTTGTTGGGCCACATAGTGTGTATTCAAAATGACTAAAAATACAGGCAAAAATACGTCATATATTCGGCAACCTGGCAATGGAAACCCAATTCACTTACATATACCTGGCGATACACCGATCCATCTTCATGTCAATCAAAAAACACAGGTGTCTCGTATGCCTGGTTCGGCAACTCCAAAAACACCTGATACCAGTCAGTACCAAGCACCATGGGTCCCACCACCAGGAAAAACAAGTTCAGGTAAATGTCTGTTGGGTAAAATATTTCAAAAACATGTGCATTGGGTGAAAAAGCACTTTCATTACTAACCTGGTTATTCAGTTTGTTTTAAGTTAAAGTCGGTTTCCAATCCCTATATTTCGCGAAAGTTTTAGGGATTTTGTCCCATCTCCCCACAATCGGGAGATTGGGATACCAATTAAACAAGGCATGCATGTTTTCTTTGTGCCCTAAGTAATATTTATCTCCACTTATCCTGTCTCAGCAGTACGACACATTCTTGGTTAAAGTAGAAAGTTGCAGATTGATGTGCATCTGGGAATATGCTCTCTTTGTTGATTTACTTGGACTTATGAGTGTTCATGCTGACACAGATTTTGGCTACATTATAGTAGAGCTAAGTAGCATTCTTACTCCTATTTGAGTAGACAAATTATAATTGTTCTTTCTACATAACTTTCCATAAATGTGCTCCAACACAGTTATTTTTATTTCATTGTATATATACATATAATATGACTGATCTTTGTAGATAGATTACTTCTGCCAACAACTTTCATTTTCTTAACTTGAAAGACCTGTGGGTACGAAATACACAACTGATCCTTACTATTACTGAGCCAAATTCATTAGCATACTGTTTTGAAGTATCAGCCAACTTTTCTCATTATTAACACGAACAAGTTTAGGAAAAAACACTACACAGATCTTGCGGATTACGGCAATTGAGGTTCTTTTGAATTATGTTCCTAATTTCCACATTAGCCTAATAGGTTCGGCAAAGTCTTAGCATTTGTTTTATTTTGACGCCTTAATTCACATTCATGAAAATCGCGTCGTTGTTAAGACTATACTACGTATATTGTTTAGTTGTAATTTGTGATCACAGTTCGTTGTAAATATATTCAAATGTTTCCTACCAAAGTATTAAGATGTGTACGACAGCACTCGCGATGCTAGATATAGTTTTTATGTTAAACAGAACTTTCCATGTAGGCCGGCAATGAACATGAAAACCTCTTCAAAGTCACAGTGCATATATCAAACCACCATTCAGTCTACCAAGGATAAAATAGATGATCTCATGGAGGAAATGTTACTGCATGAATGATTTTTATCCTCAAAAACATTGGTCCTTATGAAAAGCACAGAGCATCACTAGGGGCTGAAGTTTGGGGTCAGGACTAAATTTTAAGATTTAAAGTGCTGGTGTAAGTCTTGAATTTAGGATTTAAGCTTATTAGTTTACGATCATTCTATATGTAGCCTGAACCCGAACTCTGGATGTAAATCCCAAACTATGCAACTTAATTCTAAGCTCTTCCTTCTGATTCTAACGCTAAACTATAATCCTAGTCCTATCAGTATAAGTCATTATTTCATATTTGGTGTTGGCTGAATGAGTTAAGAATTAGTCTGGGTTATTTAAAGGATAGTTCAGGCTAATCGGTGCAGTTTAGTTTTACTGCGTTTATAACTCTGTTTTTCCACTTCCTCCATATTTACGTAGATGTTTTGTAATATGAAACCCTAGCTCCATCATTAGTTTTGTTCAAAACTACTGTTGTCATGGTCGCTTTGTTGAAGTAGGCATCGGTCTTGACTCAGAATGCATCCGTGAGCTTCCTTCCATGCAGTACTTCGCAATGTACTTCCTTGTAGGAGTTCAATATGATACCAACAATCTTTTCAGCCACTTAAAAATGTCGAGGAAGATTCCGCATGGTTTTTCTATTTACAGTGTTGACTGCTTTCTCTTAATCAGGGAAGTCGATGTATAGTGATCAGTTCCGTTTAATTGATGGTTTAACATTGTTGCGACTTGTTCGATACATGATCGACGCAATCTGAAGCCATCCTGTTGTTTTAGGAGTTTGGCATTTTCTGAATCTGCAATGTCATAAACAACTTTTGTAGTTATTCTTTTTGTCTAGATTGTGTCCAATTGGTTTATTTATTTATTTATTATTTGTCTGAACATAAATATTGGTACGAAGGGGCACTTAATACAAATGCACCACATATGCACTACAAAAGGGCTGGGTTACTAACCGGGTGCCTAGACTGAAGCAGGTAGTTTTCTTAGGGGGCCACACCCCGATCCTTCAACCTAATGGTCTGATCCATAAGGCAGTGTTGTAACGTAAGGAAATGCAGTCCCATGGTAGCCGGTGACCAGTAATTGGTTCATATGCCATTTGTTCCCTTAGGATCCTGGAGTCCATGTGCACCATTAGTTTGGAATGAGGGTTCTCCAACTTCCCTAGGTGGACTTTCTGTATCCAACAACCCGGTTAAAGCGCCGGACATTCACTTTTCGTTCTCTTGATTTCGTAAACAACAGTAATGTCACGAGAATGCAGTGAGCAGGACTTCCTTGGCAGTGCACATGGCCGTGTGAAAGCATTTGGAGAGGGAGAGCTGACTCTTCCCACCCTCAGCCGTACCAGGGCATTTGAGGGCCCGATGGGTTTCACCTATTCCAAACACTACCAGGTCGTATCTCCCCACTTCACTGGTTATTTAAGTTACCGTTTCGGTCTTCCACGTTGCCTGGAAATTTTATGTACTTACATTAATCGTTTCTCTGATTGTCAGAAGAGGCATCAGCTTAATGGCTTTCAAAGAACATAGGCTTTCACAATAAGGCAGCATAACTCTTATTTGTGAAAACCCTTCAATCCACAGGTTAGAGCTTAAAAGAATTATTTAGTTTACTCTGGTTAGCGATTTGTAGATATGTTCTTTTGTATGAGCTATGGTAACTAACTTTACTCTCAATCATTCTTCCTTCTTCGCTCTTGGGACTAGCAATAACCCTAAGAGACTCGTTACGGAGTCTGTGGCAGTCAAGACTTGGTTAAATTGACTTATATCAAGAGAAATCTGAACACAACGCAATTATTTTCTAGTTTCTATATCAGTAATGTTGATTAATGTTCATCACCTTAAGTGAATGTGGGATGTTATCAGCTTATACATTTATTCAACAAATACAAAAATTTTGTTCGTCGTGTTAAAAGAGATGTTCAGAATTAGCAAGCATGTGTCATAGTTCTTCGTCTCAGTAGCTTGGGAAACCGTGGGACATATTTTTTCTGGTATTGGTATCATAATTACTGTACAAAATGAATGTTTATCAACTAAACAATGGTAGGCTTACTATCTTAGATACCTAACTTTCAACAATAGGTTGGTGTTCATATCTCCTACTTTGGCAAATAATGTACATTTTATCTAATTGCTCAGGTTAATGGATTGTGCAGTATACATTTCATCCGATACTTGAGCATGTTTTCCTTAACAAACAATAGATACTGACCTACTTGAAAAATTATTTACAGGGCGGTACGTATACGACCCGACACGTCGCGTAAGAATGAAGTCTAATGAAAGGAAACCCCGATCACGTTCTGTGGAATCTATTAGTGATGTACATAAGGTGAGTTAAGACGTTCAGTTTTGATATCATATATATCATTAACAGTATTTACTAATGAGTAGTGTTCTGGCTCATCAATTCGCCTCTTAAAGCAAGTAGGAATAATCTTTGGTTGTAATATTTCCACAACATGTACTTAAAAATAGGTGTGACAATGGCAAGACCTAATAATACTATCTGAAGCAAATAATTTAAATAATTGGTTTATGCTCTCCATTTATTTTTCAACATATCTATTTTGTCAGACTAAACCATTACGTCGCTACTTATAAACTTATTTTGCTCAGTAAACTAAATGTTTATATGTGGAGTATTCCCTTGAAACTTCTTGCCAAAACATATTGCATCAATAAACTCTGTCATATCTGTTACGTGCTTCAAAAACCCCTGTATTTGAGGTTGATAGTTTTGAGTACTTGACTGGTTTGGATGAAAGCTTTATTAATCAGGAATATTGGTTGAAATATCAAATAGATATGTTCTCTAATAGTCTTGAATATCTTATAATTATTGTTGACAGATAGAGAGTGGAAAATAAAATGTGTTCGACCTGAGAACGCACTGCTGGCTAATGCACCTTAGTTTCCAAGGATTTAATTTTCAGTCACTCAGCCTTACGTATCAGTTCTAAAAGTAGTTTTGTTCAAGTTCCTAATTCTATATCAAATATACGGATAAGTAAATATATTTTTTTTCTCATTCATATTTGATTGTTTACGTTCAGGATTTTATACAGTTAAATGATATGGAATCTGATAAAAAGCCACAGGATCAGTACTCTAAACAATTTAGTCCCCATGATAATATTTCGATGCAAGAGCAACCATATAGTTCTGTGAAGCATAAGGAAACAATTAAGCCTACCTATATCGCAGGAAAGAACAAGGATTTTGAAGGCAAGCTAAATGATGGATCATTGTTGACAAATGTGGTTTTAGATGAATGGATTAAAGACTTGGATACTGCGACTAATCATATTGCAAAATCAGCAAGAAATATAGTGGATTGTCTAGAACAGGTAAGATTAAATGTCTTTGGAAAAGTTTCACCCTTGCAAAATGATATCGCTTACAAATATAAAGGTAGAATGGAACCTTCGCATTTAAGACTGAATAAGTTTAGAAATGAGTAACAATTGGCTCATTACAGTGCTATTTTCAGAAACAAATATGCAATGTGGACACACATCAGTCAGATTGTGGCTTTGAAAATTGTACAGCAGGAAAATTCTTAAGTAGAAAAAAAGTGACAGAAAAACATCACATTCGAATCATGAAGTCAAAGTGACAAGTAACGTAGAATCATAGTGTAGTGTTTCTCTCTAAGAACCTCCAGAATGTTGTATAGTATATTTTGATAGTCTAGTTCTATGCCAGTATTAATACAGTCAGAGTTTTATTGAGATCATAAGGTTAGACAATAACACTTGAATCCCGGCTCACTGGTCTAGAGGTTATGTGCTCGCGCGGTACCAAGGACCCTGGATCCAGGTCCTGCGTGTGGGATCGTGTACGCGTACTGCTGAGGAGTCCCGTACTAGGACGAAACGGCCGTCTAGTGCTCCCAGGTTTTCAATGGTGGTTTAACATTGATCAGTTGATGATTTCAATAAAAGCTCCAGTCTCCACAACCCTATACTGATGATCAGTATTATTATTCAATGGTGAACATCTGTCTGTTTTCTTTTAACGCTTATTTACGGTTTCGAGTGGGTACATGACATCAGTATCCTTATAAGCAATCTTTCTTTTATATATTACTACCATTGAAGTTACTACTGTGAATTTGGTGTTCATCTTTTTGTGCTAATGAGGTGTGGCAATTTGAACCGATACACATATTTGCCCGGTCCTACGTTGTAGCTGATCGACCAACATGACTTAAGTAACCAAATCATTGTGAAGATGCTAATTAATTATGCTTTTGGTTTATGTGTAGACCTTTGAGTTTAACTCTTCCACTGCACTCATTGTAGCACCAGATTTAGATTATTAATACTGAAGTCAAAGTAAGGTTGGAAAAATCAATATACAGGAGTGGAGAATCTTTATGTACAACTAAATACCACGACATCTTAAATTTTATAATCAGTACGCTGTCTGTAACGTAAAATTTACAATGCTTTTAGGTGTTGGTTGTAGTTAAATAGGGCTCTTGTTCACCAAAACGTCAAGCAAATCCTAATCTTACTCTGATCACTTAAAAGTTTATAAAATTCTCCTTGCACTATAATAAGACCATCATTTTTAAGTAGATGAGTAAACATAATTGTACTAAACATGTTTTGTTTTTAGCACCTCACAGAACAGGATATAATTACTAACCAATGTGACAACCTAAACTTTACATCTTTATGTCCAGTTTTTCGTTTTCGGATGCACAAACACTTCCGTGTTTATGAAATAAAATCTCCGTCCTTTGTTGTAAATGTTCATTATTAGGGTCTATATTCCTCATTATATTGCAGAAAATCGGTTACATACTCTTAACTTTTACACGGATTTACGTTTACTACAAAGATTAGTTTTGGACCTGAAAAATCTTATTTCAACTGAAAAGTATCACAGGAACATACATTAATTCTAGTTTTTACAAGGTTTCATTTCTTATATTTATTAGATTTGATTAACAATTCTCCTGTGATTATGGTATTCCTCATCGTAGGTTGCATATGAAGGAAGACGTGTTGACTCACATGATATGTCACGTATTGTTCAACCAAGGGATGAGTTACTATTACATGCTGAAGTCGCTGGATGTGCAGGACGAGAGTTATGTCGCTGGGCTTCAAGTATTCAACAACAACAAGATCAAATTTTAAATAATCGCTTAGCTCAGACGCAAAACCGTGAAGCCACTTTAACCTCTGAAGTTCGACGTTTGACAGAAAAACTGGGCCGAATGGGTAGGTCTCGTGTGTTACTTATTATTTAAACACATTTACTATTCAAAGATAGTTTTAATCATGAAGTGAAATTATCCGCCCAAAAATGGAAACTTAAATAGATATCTCGTCTAATCTGTAAATTCCTAGCAGTATATACCCACAACTTCACTCCTAATCAAACTCTAAACCTTCATTGCTTTCAGTACACACGTTTCTGTTAAACAACTAAGTAGAGCAGTTGATTATTCGTTTTAACTGGTTCTCCTTTCAACCGGTATGTTGTACGTCTGAACATTCTACTACCTACTTCAGATCGAGGAGCTAGAGCCGTCACGTAAAAGTTTGCCTGGAAGTCAAATACGTAAATGAGTTACATTCATCCACTGAGTCACCTATGTCAGATGTGAGACAGTTAGTTACTCATATTAAAAAGCATTGGAGTGAATTTTACTTTAATTCTCACGAATTTTTAGTGGTCTGATGATCTGAATCCGATTGGAAAGAACATTTGAATATGCCATGAATCCGTATAATACACCTAGTCTAGAGTTGTTTGTGTGACGGCGGTTGTGAGAAGCTAAATACTGATTGCGTCGGATAAATCTATTTCAGGCACTCGTTTGTTCAGACACATATTAAGAACAAGAAGCGGGAAGGCAGGTGTGCCAACTCCCATTTTTATGAGACGTGACTCAATATTTGTAGCCATAAAAAAGTAAGCTATGTGAGATATGTGATGAATAGGGTAAACGATACACGTACAACACTCATGCAAAACAGTCTAGTTAATAAGAGAATAATTGACAAGGTCAAAACGTGACTGAAGAAAAATGAATAGACTGGTTTGTCTGGAAGCTAGGATAACCTATATGGCATTGACACTACAAATTATCACATATTGAGTTTCATACATGCTGTCTGCTTTATCATGGATAAATTATTAGTATACTTAGTCTCCATATGCAATGTGAATTCGATTCATAACTTGGTAAGAAGTGTATGTAGTTTACTGGGTCTCTATTGTTTGTTTTACTTATATGATTATTACATTGAATGCGTTTTCCTCTTTCGGTTATTTAGAAGTTGATTTGGAACTGGCTCGTAAACAATTGGATGACCAACAAAATGAAAGCTTGAAATTCAATACAGTACATGAATCCATGGAGTCTGTTAAAAATCACTTGCAACGTCAACTACGTCAACGTGAATCAGAATGCAGCCGGTTTGTTTTTTTATTATCTGTTCATGATTGATCCTGGTTTCTATTTTATTGCTTCGTGTGTGCTGTCTACGACTCTTTCGAATTAGGACATTTACTAAACTGTAATCACTTCATTGTTTCTTTATGTCAAATATACGATCTCAAACCTTGCTGTAACAACATCGTTGATGCTTATCTTCACAAAAGGACGTTGGGGAACCAAACAATGGATTCAAGAAAACCATCTAGCTTTGGGCGTTCACATTTTTAATTACATGTATTTACTTCAACAATTAGAGCTCATTTGTTAAAATTCAATGAAGTACATCCGACTTAGTTGAAAAGACAATGATGTTTGAGAATAAATTTTAACTGAGCTCTAAGACTTCACCATCACAATTTAGTGTTTAATTTATTGAGCTATGGGAAAAATAAGATTGATTCAGCACAAACTTCGGGTAGACGTTTGTTCAGAATAACGATGAGAGCTCCAGGACCAAACCATCCAGCTCGAAGGACGAAACTCCACCAAAATCATCCACCTGAGCTACAAATCTTCTTCATCTCACGATTGATTCCACAAGTTCCAACTTAATATTTTAAATTCTAATTATGTATAGACCTATAAATCATATCATATTGTCAAATTCTAATAGGTTTCCGAACAAAACCTTTTTTACGGTTTAGCCGTTACACACTTGTTTTTGTCATTGTTTTAGTTTGTCTGTCCAAGTACGTAATTTGGAAACTCGTCTAGCAGAACAGCAAGCACAGAATCAAGCTCGTCTGGAAACAGCTGAAGTCAGTTTAGAACGTATGCGAGAAACAAAAGAAGCATTGAAACGAGCTGCTAAGTCACAGAAACGTCGTGCAGATGAAGCTGAAGAAGCATATCGTGAAATTTCTCACAAGCTTGCTACTCAAGAGTCTATTATAGCTGGTTTTCAGGTAAGAGATAATGAATTTTGCAAAATGAGTTGTTTGCATATTTAGGTTCGTTCATAAACATATTATTTACTGGGACCCAACATAAAAGTTTTTATTTTTTGTATGAAGCCAAGAGTGTCAATAGTCTATCTATCGTGATACGATTTAAAGAAGTTACTCTGAAGATAACTAGAAAGTCAACAAAAGCCAGGAAAGAATAAACAATCGTTTCTTTTTAGTATGACGTACTCACGATGCATACTAGAGACCTAACCCCATGATCTCCGGACCTCGCTGTATTTACGACACTTCAGTCTTCATTATTCGAAATATTCATTTGATTCTTTTATTATTATTATTATTATTATTATTATTATTATTATTATTATTATTATTATTATTGGCTTTATTCAATATTATCTTTTTGGTACAATATAGAATTCTCAGCACAGGGTATTTCACCAAGTTACTTACTGAACAACGAACAAAAAGGCAGTAGCAAATACAAAAAGAAATTTTTAAAAAAACGTTTTAAAAAAATAGAGTAAAAAAAACCAAAAAAACTGTACAAACTTTTTAAAATTAAAGACATGTTAAGAATGTAAGTTATTGACTAGGTTAATTCTAACAACCTGTTCGTCACAGAGTATATTTGCTAGGTAAGGTATTATAGAACTTTTATACTTTTCCTTGCGTGCATGGATTTTAATGTAATTACGTCTCGTTCTACCAGAAGATATACAAGGAGAAAGATAAGAGTGAAGGGGATGGCTAGTATCTGATAAAATGACACCTGCCAGGAGTTTGCTTGATTTTAAATGTCTATCCACAACCATATTAATTATGACCTCGAAAGATTCACCACACATCTTGCTAACTGCCTTCAGCACTCTTCGCAATACAGCAGTCTTTTCTCAAAAGACCGGGAAAGAATAATGGAGAACAGTAAAGAATAATAAGTAATATGCAAGAATTGACAAATTGTAAAAGTAAATGACGAGTAATTCCAAGAGCATGCAATCTCTTTATGTAGTAGGTCAGACGGAAAATCTTCTTCGATAACGATAAAACGCGGGAAGACCAAGACAGATCAGAGGAAAAGGTGACACCAAGATAATTGACCTTCGACACTGAGTTTATCAAAGTCTCCGATGGTACAAGCACTATGGGATCTCAAAATGGTGTTTAGATTCCGTTCATGTCTCATGCTAAAGTTAACAGCTTGACATTTAGACGGATTAAGTATGAGACCATTACCAACAGACCAACAATCAATACGAGACAAAAACTCATTCATTTCTATGGGATGTAAAGAGGAAGATATAGGCATACATACAGTGAGATCATCCGCATACTTCACAAAAGTGTTTTCTGTGGAAGATGGCAGATCATGCAGATAAAACGAGAAAAGAAGAGGTGAAAGAACGGCTCCTGGTGGTACACCTTCATGAGACAGAAGAGACTCTGAACTCTTTTCTCCAAACACAGTGTACTGTTCCCTTCCAGAGGTAGGAACATAGCCAGTTGGTTATCCAGCTGTCAGTGTTGACGCTGATTAACTTGTTAAGTAAACGTTGTCTTGGTATAGAGTCAAAAGCTGAAGTATAGTCCAGAAAAGCACATCAAACATACTTCTTACCCTTTTCTAAGTTGAACACTATGTTGTGATGCAGAACTGCAACAGCATCTAAAGTGCTTATTTTGCGCCTGTATGCAAACTGGTATGGGTCAGTATGCTCTTTTATCGCAGGCTGAAGTGGAAGTATTAATAATTTTGTGGTCTTGAAACTAATTTGCTCATTAAAATGATTAAAACTCACTTAACATTTTACCTTACGCGTATGGTCAGAATCCATAGGCTGTCTTTCACTTAGGTTTCGTTTAAATCGTTATATAATCAAATGTGAAGTTCCTCTGTAGCGTAAGCATATGTACAACTATTGAGTTTTTTAAAGAAATTATTCATCAGCTAGTAAACAAGATTAATATCAGTGTTGAACGATGCAAGTTTGAAATACGTTTCTTGTTTGACTGTGAATACGCTTCATTATTAAGTTTCACAAAGCACTAAATTTTCGAATGTCCTTAATATAACGGTAAAAAGACAGTTTCGCGTCCATACATTTGATGATAAACAATACGACGTGACAAACATAACATGTTCGATCACGATATCATATAACACGCTAGTTAGTTAGATAACCAGATAAAATCACATGGTGTACAATTCCGAACAGAGATTTAGAACCAGATTATTAGCTAAAATAGCCGTTTATTAACACAAATTGTAAGCTGTTACACAGCGTGAAATACATAATAGAATACAATCGAATACATAGTGGAACGAATTTACAATATTGTGTAGTCTCGATTTGCATTCTACATTCTGATGTGTCCACCTTCGCTTGTTGATCAATCACGTCCTCCGACATATCAGTCTCCAAATGCGAAACTTCAGTCAGTCAGTTAAAACGGAGAACTTCGTACGTACGTACACACCACATTAGCACAGAGATGCAGTTGTCAGTTCAGATCCCGTAGTGGTAGAGGCGGTAAGAGTATAAGCAGTAATCGGAAACATTAGGGTTTGAAGATGTTATTTAGAGAGTATAATCCAGTGAAATAGATTTGGAAAGAGAAAAAAAGAGACAAGGAGGATTGAGGAGATTGGAATTTAGGAGAACACAAAGAGTGGATGCACCTGTCCCATTGCAAACGATTTTGAGCCATATCATTCAGGGTCTCTAACTGTCGGCTGCTATCATCTCTCGGTCCCCAACCAGGTAGTCTACACCTACCAACATGGCTCAGTCCACTTGTCAGTAACTTCATGGACTTGTGCCACGCGTAACTTACTGTTGTGTGATACCTTTGTTACAATTCAACTAGCGAACCGGTCATCATCTATTATCCGATTCTGTCTTTTTAATTTGTTTTAAAGGAAACTCTGAGTTTTTGTTGCTCATGCTTTTCTTCATAACATTACAGCAGGAATTGGAATTGGTGACTGGTTTTATTTTTTCAGCATATATAAGACAAACTTAATTTTATTGGACGGCAAAACATTCAATGAGTGTTATAGAGTGTAACGCGATAAGCAGCCGGTTTGAACGTAACTTATTTTGATTTCAATCTTTCTTCAGTGGTCAGTAGTTGTAGGTTTGAATACCTTTTGCAACCCATAAACTTGCATATATTCATACATTTAAGCTCCAACACTTATTTCCCTTCATGATTTATCCTGTGTTCACAGACGGAATTGGAAAACTGTGCTCTTAGATCTAGAGGTCGTAGCAAGGAGCGTCAGTTAAATGATGTAGGCATTATGCATGATGGTGGAATAGTAGATTCAAATAAATCTATGTATGCAAATGGTGATAAGAGTTTAAGAGAGGTGAGTAAAACAAGTTTATATGACTTGTTAATACTTATATTTAATTTTAATATCATACCATTGTGAAGCAGTGACTCACTAGTATTCCCAGTCAGCTTTCGTTTAAATAGGTTGCTGGTTTAAATCTCCACTACCTGGTGGTGTCCAGGCAGCCGAATAAAATAGGAAATCAACCTCCGTATAACAGCTGTGGCTTATTATGTGGTGCAAGCACGTAAATGATTAAATATCAGGAAACTAGGTATTATTTTGATCGCGTTAATTATTTATTAAGATTTTTAGGATTTCTTGGTGATAGGATTGAAATTCTAGCAATATTTAGATACATTTTTCCTATTAAGGTGATCGTCATCAGAATCACAAAGAGACGTTGAGTACTAAAAACCGTGAACCAGTTAGAATCATGCCATCATTTAGTATCAGACATATTGAGCACGGATCTTTTCTATCGGAATCTGTGACATATTATTTTATGAAAGATAAAAGTTGGTCAAGTCAACGAATGACACCAATGCGTAAAAGCGCTAATTATTTGTTTGAGTTGTGAGAAATTAATAGTTTAAATGTAGCCCTGGTAATGCGAAATCGTCCTTTTTTATTTTCCTTTATATCCTTAGTACCCCACAACTCGTTTGTTTATTTCTCTGCTCATTTAGTTCGTTTATTAGTGACCCTTTTTTTATCTGACTCCGATTTGGATGGACGTATGAATGTGTCGTTTAACACGTTATCGGCGTTTATTTGAAGGCAGGGGAGATCTAAAAACAACTGAATACAAACCAGGGTCAGTGAATCTCCAAGGAGGAAGAACACAACGCATATATTTGGAAAATAGAACACCGCGGTTCTGTCACAAAAATGGAAAGCTGATTTAAAATATAGTCTCACTAATCATTTTCAAGGCCAGTTTACGCAGGGCTTATTCTTCTAGCACATCCACTCTTTGTTGTCCTGCAATAAGAAAAAACACATTCACATTAATTACATCACGCATAATGATTTTTAATACTGTTACGATGAGCATAAAACTTCAATTTAGCACCTAGACTAGAGTTGTTTGTGTGACGGCGGTTGTGAGAAGCTAAATACTGATTGCGTCGGATAAATCTATTTCAGGCACTCGTTTGTTCAGACACATATTAAGAACAAGAAGCGGGAAGGCAGGTGTGCCAACTCCCATTTTTATGAGACGTGACTCAATATTTGTAGCCATAAAAAAGTAAGCTATGTGAGATATGTGATGAATAGGGTAAACGATACACGTACAACACTCATGCAAAACAGTCTAGTTAATAAGAGAATAATTGACAAGTTCAAAACGTGACTGAAGAAAAATGAATAGACTGGTTTGTCTGGAAGCTAGAATAACCTTTATGATCTTGACATTGTACTAGACACTGCACGTTTTAGCATTCCTTGTATTGGCTTTCTATCTACTGTCTTAAAGGGATTTTTATATCTCATTATTGGGATTTCAGTCTATCAATAATTTTCTTCTTATCTATTAAAAAGGAAAATCTCCGATTACGTGAAGTAGCTTCGAAATGCGAACAACGTTTACATGCAGCTGAAGAAGAACTACAGCATCTGCGTACTAGTTTGTCCACTTGTGAAGCTTTACTAAATGATTATCACGGAGATGCTGCAATGCAGGCTAGTCGACTACATACGTTAAATGAACGATTAAAAGTAATCTGGTTTTGTCACATTTAGTGTTTAATTTTTTAATTCTTTCTTCGTGATCAAATAATAATCATTGAGTATTGCATTGTTATACGAACGTCATTGATTAGAATTCTCATCACATAAACCGCTGACTAAATTATGGCAGAGTAAAAGAACAGCAGAATAGCTTAGTAGAATCATCATTTCAAAAAGTCAAAATGCTATTAATAAGTGATTCAGTTTAACATAATTGAAAAATGGTCGGAGAGAGATTTCATGTAATATACTTCAAAATCAAACTCGATGATGCTGAGGATCCATATCTCATGATTACTTTATGTTCATTTCTTCTAGTTTGTGTTATGCTGACAGATTATTGTTAGCTGTCTCACGAAAGATACCTTCGTAAATGCGTGTAACATTTATATTCCCGTAATTATATTTAAAACGAATTCTGTTCAACCACTACGAAATGCGTAAGGTGTTTTCTCAATGTCAATTCAACGGAATATTGATAATTATATACAGACTAATTGTCTGTTTATGGGGCTTTTTCTGGTTATCCTCAGATTCACTACATTTATTTTCTATTTTACTGTCTTGCCCTTCAGATTGTGGTATGTTATGAACTTCAACCACACTAGGGTTCAGATGGTTAACTGCTACCGTATGTAATTTGACACTAACACAGGTTTGACTCGTTCTTGTGAATCTAAACATTTGGATTGAATTATTTACATTGGTCTGTATCTTTATGGAATCAGAAAAACAACTGGGCATATTTCTAAGCTGTAGAGTTTGAGAATAAAGCTTCTCTTCAGTAGGTTGAGGATAAATGTCTCACTTTGCCGATGAATAGTGTGACTTGTGTACGCAGATACAGTTTGTTGATAAGTAACAGTAATTAAATAAATTTGGGTATGCCAACGCCTTCTGCGAGCCGTCACTTTATAGTCTTTTGCTCCCGTGTTTTTTATTATCTGGTGAGATATTAATGTTTTACAGAAAACAGAATCTGACAGAGAGCGTAGTCAGATTCAGTTGGATGATGTAGAACAAAGATTGCTTGAAGCAGAACACCGTAATCGTATTCTAGAGGATGCGTTACAATCAAAGGAATCCCAGAAAGGCGATTATGTGGCTAGCACTCCGGTCAATACAAAACAATCATCGAAATTAGGAGAATGCGACCAACAATTGCATTTGGACCGTGAGGATTATTCTGGTCAGAACAGTCAACTGAATGGAAGTGCTGTAAGTGGTTTGTGTATGATTTTCGAATTTTCTCTGTGAATAATTCAGTGTTATACAAAGAAAGGAAAGATAATGAAATGGATTTGACTATAAAGAAGTATAAATACGGTTTTGTGCTTGAGACTAAAAGTTACATTTATTTTGCGATGACTAGTAATGCTAAAGCGCAATCAAAATCCTGATAATATTCAATAAAATTCCAAAATGTAGCTCATTTGGTTGTATTTTGTTAACTCAGTAAAACAGTGAATTACACTAATTCCAAGCAGAAAATAATGTGCTACTACCAGATAAAAATGGCATTTTAGCACATACAAATTACGAACTATTAATTTATTAACAAATATTTTTTGAATTAAATTGACCAATTTTATCTGGCTAGTAAGTAAGGAAAATAAACAATCGCATTATGTCCCATCCAGATGATATGATATTCCGTCTGGATGTTAATAAACAATTTGTACATTCAAATTTTGAACCACTACTATCGGTGGGTCTCAAACAATCATATATTAAGTTACTCAGTAAATATACTTCAGAAGATAAAACTTCTGATATTGTGGAATTATTATTAAAATTGCCGAAAGACGAGAAGTATTGATAATTAGATTCAAACCGATTATTAAACAGTAGACAATACAAAAATAAATCTGTGTTATCTCATACTTATTCAATAGTTCTTCAAACTAACAATGATATAACTCATTTATCACATACAGGTAACTGTACTTACTGGGTTTTGAAGCAAATGGCTTGTATGAGTGTAAGTGATATTAACCAGCTTCCCAGACGAAACTCGGAGAACGGGTTCCAATCTGTGGCTTAATGGTTGAATGTTGAGCTCTTCTGACTATTAACTCATTACTCACTTTCTATTAATCAGGTCAAGTTTTATTGTTGTTATGCATATTTTCCGAATGATTTCAAAATTAATTCAGTTATAGTTGTTTCTTGTTTTGTTAAATTCCATTCTACTTGTATTCAGAATATAGGCATATCAAAAGATCAAAATATAACAGGCACAACAAATAATGAATTAATTCAAGAACTAAGAAGAGAATTATGTGAAGCTCAGAACGAAAAAAAACAAATAGAAAATCGTACTGAAATACGTTTAAATGATTTGAGAGCTCAATTGAATCAAGCTGATGCAACAAACCGAAGTTTACAGGCATATTTAACATTTTTAAAGCGTTCATATGCTAGTGTATTTCAACCAGACATGTTAATAAATCCTTCATTAATCAGTCCTTGTCAACCTATTGCATGTTCGTTAACAACTCAATTGACTACCAATAATACAATATCAAAAAATACACATCGTGAATGTGTATAACCCCTAAGACTATATGTATACAAACACACAAAACAGTATTTGGAAAACGTGCTTCCTCAATAAACATCACTTAACAGTGATGTCTATCACTTATTGTTGCTATCTTATTTTATGAACACCAGTTTATTAAACAATGCAGGGAAAATTTACCTAATTCAGTATATAAGTTTCTTTTGGCCTTTTTAAAGGCTTTCTTTTATTTTCTCTTGATCCTAAATTAAGTTGATTGAAACTTGGGAGAAAAAACTAGATTTCTTTCTCCTGTTATCTCTAGTATACAAAATATATAATACTCATTATGTTACGCATACTTCGATTCTATTGCCTGTGATAATTTTGTTAAGGATACTTGTTTTTATACTTTCATCATTATTACTTCTCTTGGAATGGTATTTAGTATTATCATTACTAATGGCTAATTTTTCTCTAATAATTTCCCTGTTTATGCTTATCGATTTAAAAAAAATCAAATTGTTCGTATTGGTCAGTTTGTTGTTTATCCGTTTTGTTTACTTTTATACTTGTTTACACACGAACGTAAACTCATCTAGCATGTTGGAGTTTTGGATTCTTATAGTAACGCTGAAAAAATCCTGCTGTCTGAAGTTTATTGATTAAAGGTCAATATTCCTATTTTATTCCTTTTTTTGAAAATTTCTTTATAGACAGTTTTTAAGGGTAACGAATTGTTCGTTTGACTTTTCAGGAATTGATCTACCAGAAGATGCACCTATTTACTTAAAATACACATGTAGCATAATTTTGTTTAGTGAAGTCACTAACAAAGTACGCCTTCACTAATAATAAAAATGTGGTTGGGATGCGTCTCTCCTCTCCTAAGTATATAATGTTGCTTCAGGACAGTTATGGGTCAACACCTAAATTAGTCATAGGGAGTAAGAGGTTTAAATGAGTTGACTACTTCATTTATCTTGAAAGTCTCATCAACCCTGATGGTTGGAGAAGTTCAAGCATGGAAACAAGAATCATTCCTGAGATTTGCCAATTCGCTTCACTTGTGATTCAGTCCGGCGTAAACTCTGATCTAGTTTGAATCCGTTAGTAAAGGCATCCCAGATGCCTTAATGGTAACTTTCTTTACTGTGGCAGTTAGTCATTTAGGCCCGAGTTCAACGGAAATGATAAGTCCCCTCAACCATAATTTTGGCAAGAAAACTACATTGATTCACTGATGGAGTCATGAACTTTGTAATATATCCATTATTAAATCTATTTGACATGAAAATGGAGGACCCACTAGTAGAAAATTCATAATATGAATGTTCGATAAGCTTAATGTAAAAACCAAGTATTTTATTAATGTATAAAACAAAACGATATCATTTAAAAGTAACAATTTTAATTAATACCGATAATTCATTAGCGGTCAGTTGCTTTATGTAGAATATTGAATTCAGAATGCATATAAAGTAAAAAAAAGAAGAAAGTAATACTATTCAACACCTACTTGTCGCCTATAGTGTAACCGTAGTAATACACTATAAAAAGGTTACTCATTTGCATTAACGTTTCTAGTCAATACAAATTACGTTATATCTATAGTATATGCATGCAATTGACCAAAACCTTGACATTATAAAGAAAACTTATCTTGATGTTTTATGCACATATTAACATCCTTCTTTTAGTAGATCTTTGTTTCCTAATCACTTCAAAAAGTGTTTCTCTTAATCTCTCCGAAAAAGAATAAGGTTGCTAAGCAACCAGTGGTTTTGTCTCTTATATTGTAAACATTTCGTTTTTCTATCATTTAATTGTTATTAACTCATTGTGATCATAATATATTAACCAAGCAATCAATCAATAGAGAATGCAATAAGCATAACTATTCTGTTGGTCGTTTTAGCTCAATAATTTGTACGTAAGTTATGCTTTTTTGCAATGAGGAGAATAATGACAATGGTAATAGCTAAAGGACATTTAAAACAATGACTAGTGATGTAATTAATCTGAGGAGCATGTTTACTGTCTAATTTTGTCTAGTAGCATAATATAGTGCGTCTTATTAAAGACAAAGTTTTTAATAGTGACACATTTTAAATGTCGATTCTGGAACTTATATATTACCATTGGTAGGTTTTCTTAAACTATTATTTGGTCGACAGAACGCTTCTAACTTAAACAGACCATACTGTTTTATGGAATAAAATCAGTACATAATTACGATACAGAGATGCATCGTCCAGCGCTCCTTGGTTTTCAGAGGCACTCCGACGAACACCAATCCAACCTATAAACTAATCTCCACAAAATTCACTCAACTAAGCTACATAGTCTTTGAGTAATCTTAACATGGGCCTTATTATACGTTGATTTTAGTTGGAAGAAAACTGAGAATATTGAAGTATATGATAAGATTTTCTTTTCTATGAAGTGATGGATTTCCAAGCATATGACATTCATCTTATTTGTAATCTAAAGATGAGTTTGCCTCAATAGATATGTAAGTCTTTTAACCACATTAGTGCTATGGAAAGGGAGTTTGGGCCAGCTACTTCTTGTAATACGTTCGGATGTTCATCGACTTGAAAGTATGAATATGATGTTCAGAGACCCCGCTGTGGCACTACAGTCGGTACGACATTAATAAACTAGATTCCGATTAGTGATTTGTGTGCTGTTAAACTACAAGATTCAATCAGAACTAAAAGGGATTATCGTATGAAACGACGTCTTTTCGTTACCACCCCAGACGTTCGAACAGATCCCATCCGAAACGTAATAAAGAATTGATCTTTCGCCATCAAAAGTCTCCGGGTATATTTTATAGGGCTAGCTCTTGGCTCGAATATGCTTATCCGGCTTTTAAGCCTAGACGAGAGTCGTTTGGATCAATGATGGGCACAAGAATATAGTTTCTTTCTGATTACATGTATCGATTCTGATCACGGTCTGGTTTAGTTGTCATAACAACATTCTTAACGGAGTGACGTAAGCTGATTAGCTGTACTCAACTAAATATCAAACTGAACTAGGTTCAAAGCTAACTAATTGTTCACTGAGAAGTGTGAATGAGAACTTGTTGCATTTACAATACATTGAGACTATTGTACCATTTTGATTTAATCGAAAAACAAAGATTTACGTTGATAGCATTCATTACACTATATGATTAAAAACGATCCAGATAACTATTTATTTTAGATTAAGAGAGTTTCTGTGGTGTTTGTGTGAACTAACGAATCCTTTGTACTTGTTGGATGCTTGATTTCGAATTCCAAATATAGTACATTCATTAGTGCTTATCTAGTACTTGTCCTAATAGTTATTACTGGGATTCCTAATGTGTACTATAATTCAAATGCTCCCATCATATTGGCGTCGCGATGGGACAGTTAGATATTCATCCAACTTCTGAAGCTTTTGAGGATTATTTAGAAAGGTTTGAAATCTGGAGCATGACCAAGAAAGATGTTGAGGGTGATAAAATTGTGGCACATTTTCTGACATTCATCGGAAAAGAAGCATACAGCTTAATAAAAACTTTGGCGCATCCAGAAAAACCTATCTTGCTTCCTTATGCAACTCTTAAGAAGCTATTATTAAGTCATGTAAAGTGAACTAGTTTTGAATGGCGAAATTTTATAGGATGATTCGTCAAAATGACTAAAAGGTTAGGAAATTCATCCTTCAATTGCAGAAGCAGGCTGCCAAATGTAATTTCGGTGATCAATTTCATGTGCAACTGAGAGATCGAGTAATTGCAGGAATTAGCATACGGGGCCTGGAAAGAGAACTGTTAAGAATGCCAAACTATTCCTTTCAAGATGCTAGAGCTGCATGTATTAACTACGAGGAAGTGAATGAACTTCATATCCAGTCGATGAGAATTTCTAGTACTTTGCTTCGTCATCATGATGAAATACAATTTCATCCACGTAATTCATGTGCATTTCGTACTGCTAAATGTTTTAAATGTGGTAAGATAGGACACATTCAGTCAGTATGCAAAATTACTGTTCATTTTACCTCAAGTAGTACCAAATCTCTTGATTTATATCCCAATAATTGGGCTGTTCCTAATAATCATTTATCTTTGTCTACTACTTCGAAAGGTAATGCTCATATTCAAAAGCGATTATGTACATCGCTTGGTTGATTTCATGACTTTATTGTGAACACAGGCAGTATAGAGTCCAGTATTTCATTCAAGAACGTGAAATCTTTAGATCCTAACGTTGTACTGCGACCCACTGAAGTATCAATATTTGGGATTACTGGACACAGACTGCCCATACGAGGATGTTGTGAATTGCTAATAAGAGACGATAATTCTTCATACATACCTTGTGAATTTTTAGTTAGCGAAACAGGACTGTCAATACTGGATTTAAAGAATTTGAAAAGGCTTAAGGGGGAGTTGTCTTTCCTAGTTTCTAAAGAAAACTCTGATGCTTTACTTAAAGATTTGATAGCTACGTGTGCTAAGAGCAGTGGGGGTTTATTAATATTTATTTGAACACATAAATGTTAGTACAAGGGGGCACCAAGTATATATGCGACACACAAAACAATGAGAATGGGAAGAGAAAAAAGTAAAGAGCGTAAAAAAAGAACAATAATGACCAGATTAGTGTAATAGTAATTAGGTGAAAGGGAACGTACAACCAGTAGAATTCTTTCAGTTAAGGGAGATACAACCACTTTTTATGAAGAAAGTAAAAGGTTACAGCGAGATCTCCACTGGCTTCTATCCTGAGTCATATCTGATAACGTCTCTAGCCACTGTGTCGCACCATCTCTCAGACCCGTCAGGAAGGAACAACAGAAACCAGTCCCGTACAGCTTTCTTTCATGCCCCGACACCATGTCATACACTGACCACCTCTCCGCTTTTTCCGACCAGTCCCAGCGTCGGCAAATAATGCACGACGTGGAATTCTCTGGGACGACATTCGTAGAACATGTTCAAGCCACTGAGGTCGATGTTTCAAGATGGCGGCACCAATCGGGTTATCGTCTCTGCGCCCAAACACACGATGCCGAACCTCTGCATTACTAACATAGTGTTGCCACTGGATGTCACCAATCCTTCGGAGACAGCGATGATCGAACACGGAGAGTTGTCTAACGTCCTCAACTCGGAGAGGCCAGGTTTCACAAGCATAGAGCAGAACTGCTCTCAGCGACACGCTGTAGATCCGACCTTTTACAGCCAGACTAACATCACGAAGGCGCCAAATGTGGCCCAGATTGGCATAAATCGCTCTGGCTCTCTCTATACGTGAACTGGTCTCACCACTCATGCCACCATCAGCACTTATGCAGCTACCTAGATACACGAACTTCTCAACTACTTCTATCTGCTCACCATCCGGAGTGACTACAGGATTGAACTGAGTTGCGAAGAATTCTGCTCATCGTCCAAGACGTCGATGGACGTTACTGATTGGCATCCCGTCATCCTCTCAGATTGTTTCGCTTATGTCAGGTTTCTTCCTGCCAGGGGCTCGGATGAGTTGGAAGAGCTTCCGGTAGCTACTAGATGCAGCTGCTGCCTCCAGCCCATTAGCACTTTTCGACCATCAGGATTCTCGGTCCTTACACTAGCTTTGCCCGATTTGATTACGCAACGGCCTTCGTTTCTTGTAAAACTCAAGGTCACCCGAAG